GCAATACACTTTTGAAAATAAAAATAAAAAACAATTACTAGCATTAGATTTTGGTAAATGAAATTACTAACGCATCCAAGAAAATTAAATCTCGGCATTAAATGACCCATGTCATTTGCATAAGTGTAAGACTGTTACCACCCTATCATTCAGCCTTGATTATTACCGAGTTGTAATGTTTGTTAAATAAAGAAACCCAACCCTTTAGAAACAAGACGTTCATGATCATTTTTTACTCTGGAGAAGAAATGTATTTTTTATTTAAAAATTTATTTTTGGTAATTTCGAATGAATAAATAAGAAACAAATCACATTAAGCAGCGTTTATTAATCACATTATCATTAATGAAAATAGCATACAGAGACTTTATGGGCACGTAGCCGAATGGTTAACACGTTTGCATTCTGACCATGAGACTCGAGTGCGAATCTCACTTATGGTCGATTTAAACCTTATTGAAAAGAAAAATGGAAGAAGAAAAATGGATTTAAGCCCCATTGAAAAAACATGGAATTTAATGAAAAGAAAAATGGAAGGAAAAGTTTGTGAAAATATTGATGAATTAAAAGCAGAAATTATAGATATTTTGAATTACATGGATAAAAATTTAATTTTTTCGATACAAAAAAGAGAGAAGGCGGTTTTTGAATCAAAGGCATTGAAGAATGTAAAGAAAGCGTTCCTACCCGCCATCGTAAGAAGGAATAAGACAAAGAAGGCATTAAATGAATTTTTCAGGGTCACTGAAGAATTTAAAGGAAAATGTTGAGAACCAGACCCTGATAAAGACAGAAGCCGACAAATTTGCAGAAAAACTGGAGGGACAATTTCTCTGTACCGCTAATTATATGAAGTACATGTGGTAAACCGCTCTAAATAAGTTTTTCATTAAAATCAGTTTCATAAATATTAATTCATAGTATTTTTATTGTATTTTCTTATATTTACCTATATTTTAATTAAAAAGTACGCAAATTAGAAATTGATTGTCAATGAGTTTAAAATTTGAGATACAAATTACATCATTTCCTATAAGTTATTATATTCCATTAATGTATTTTCGATTAATGCGTATCTTTTAATGTATTAGCCACACTAATCGAGGGATTACTGTGTAATTGTATTTAAAGCTAAACTAGACTATAAACACATTCATTCAGGCAATTCTGTTGATTATTTTAAAATTTACCATCGATACATAGCAACGGGGTTTATAGTGTATATTATTTCTGCATATTTAATAGAAACTAAAATGCTAAAATAAAGATATTTATAGAAAATTATGTTAAAATAATTTTTTTTTCTACTGTAAATTAACGAGACGACGAGAAATGTCTATATTGTAAGGGAGGTAACTCTTAAGATTTAATTTACTGAAAAAAAAAGTGTGAATTTTTTTATTTCTACATTTCCTTTCGCTATATTTTTATGAATGTTAACATCTTGAGAAATTTGACTAAAATTAAAATAGCAATTTTTATTTTAAATTTTTCGAATCAATAATTGTCTGGAGTTGTATAACAGACAGTGCGACCAGAAATAATCATTTATGCAATTCTTTTGCTTTTCGTATTAAGCACTCAGGATCCCGAATATCACTTTTTAAAAAATTTCATAAAAGTTAATCGAAGGGCGATCCAATTTACTATGTAAATTCATTAATCCTCCTACGCAAGGCAAAACAAAATATGTTAATTCTATGTGATTTCTCAAAATGTTGGTTGATTGATTTGTTTAGCGGCATATCAACCTCTCTGGGTTATTTAATGCCAAAATCTAAATTTTGAACGCAATTCTATGCCTTCAACTACTGATAAAATCTAGTGTTGGTCATTTTGTATAAAATGTATTTTTGGTAATTGTACTATAAATATGTACTGTTGGCAATTTTTAATATAAAAATGTATTGCTGGTATTTTTACTAATGTATTTCTATACTTTCATAGTGTTTTGTTTTTGTTGAGGGTTCACTATCTGTTCATAGCGATGACTCTAACAGATGCTACCACCTCGGGCAAACCTGGGAACAGCAGCAATTAAGAGGTCTTCAAAACTTCAACTCTCCCAATCAAAGGCCTTGCTGCCGGATGTAGTTTATCGTCATACTCAGGACTACTCAAAATGTAAGAAAAATTTAAGAAGTTTTACAATTCGTAATATAGAGTTCTTTTTTTTTTCTTCTATTGAGTTCGCACTCTAGGTTACTAATTAAAAATAAAAGAAAATAAATATTTAAAAAAAAATTTTTTTAAAAAATAAAACACGTCATATGAGCATATTTGTTTTGGCTTGTGTAGGGCAATGAAACCACTAAGACACAAGGGGCTACTGGGAGTGAAAGAGAACGAGAACACTTTAGAATCAACTGGAAGCCCAGTCCTAAACAGGAAACAAGGGATAAACATCTACTCCTGTTCAAAAGACCGGGGTGGATTTAGAAACAAGCTACGACCCCCGTTATCTTAAATCTTACATTATTAAATATTATCTTTAATCTTGTCTTAGAACAATTGAATTTTATAAGATTTAATTATTTTTTAATTATTCGTGATATACAGAATGCGATGGATAAATTGTCACCATCTTACATTTTTTAAAATTTTTGCGCATGCGCGTTGTCTGTTTTTATTTTTATTTTGTTGACTGCATAGTATGATAGGGTTAGTTGGGAACTGTCTGTGAGAAAGAGTACCATGACGCAATTCTTTCCCACTGAAATTTTGAAACGCCATGCTGTACTGCTTGGCATTCGCACCGGGAGCGCTAATACGATCATTTCAGAGTATTTAGGTATCAATCTAAGGACAGTGCAGAGGATTAGGAAAGAGTTGGATGAGTCTAATGGTGATTACGAAGGTGTTTGGAGTGATCACTAGTGATGGCGACGTAATGCCTTCATTCACCTTCCCACAGAGCCTCAGACTCAACACGGAGGCCTACATCAAGTGCCTTGAGAAGGTAGTACAGCCCCTTACATTTGGCCACCTAACTCCCCAGACTGCAACCCCGTTAATTATTATGCGTGGGGCGTACTTGAGCGAGAAACCAGCAAAACTCCATGTAACACCAAAGATGAACTGAAAGCAAGGGTAACACCTGTCTTCAGTTCATCAGTATTCAGTTGACAGCATTCATCAACTTGAACAAGGAGACCGTCCAGAAGAGTTGCAGGAGATTCCGAAGTTATCTGCAGATATTGGTTGAAAGAAATGGCGATTTTATTGAATAAATTTACTCTTTAGTATTTCAAGATATTTTTTGTGTAATTTTGGTAAATATATCTGTTAAAATAAAATGTCAGTGTTATTTTCATTTTTGTGCAATTTAGACGACAATTTATTCATCGCACACTGTAGAGTGCTAAATACATAGTGAGATGAACAAAAAAACAAAAAAAAAAAAACAAATGAAAAAGTGATTATTTCGAGTCTAAGTGACTATTGTACATCTCGACCAAAATTGCTTTCAGTATTTGCACGTCAGTACATTAATCCTCCTATGGGGCAGTGAATGCGGGACAATCTCAACACAAATGAAGAAAAGACTTGAAGCAGCAGAAACAAAGAAACAGTACTGAAATGTTACGTAATATCAGTCCTCATATATGGCAGTGAATGCTAGACAATCTCCATACATATGAAGAAGAGACTTGAAGCAACAGAAACAAAGAAAAGAATATTGAACTGTTAACGTAATATCAGTCATCCTATATGGAAGTGAATTTCCTCAAAGATGAAGAAGAGACTTGAAGCAATAAAAATCTGGTTCTACAGAAAGATGCTGAAAATACGATGAACTGAATATATGAGCAACGACAAAGTTTTAGAGTAAATGGAAGCAAAAAGGACACATATATAGAATCAGACACAGAACGTAAACTACAACAACTCCTATAGAAAGTTGTTAAGAAAAACAAAAAGGCCTATGCGTTCGATGCAAGTAGACAGAATGCATTGTTGCTAGGCAGAGGAACTACCCAAAGTGCAAGTTACAAGTTGGAGATACCAAAATCAAACAAGTTCAATAATTTAAACATCTGGGGAATGTTTTAACAGAGAACGGAAAGTGCCACACGGAAATCCAAAGGCGCTTTGGGATAACGAAAGGTGCCTTCCAAAAACTAAGCAAAGTATTAAGAAATAGAAAAAATTCGTTAGAAACAAAGAAATTAATACTAAACTGAATTTAACATATTTCGCTTTTATTTAAACTTCATTAGAATTTTTTTTTTCGGAAATTTGTTACGGAGTAGGGGTAGGTGTTGTAGAAAGTTCCGGTGTTTTGAATTCTGTATTGTTTGCTTTTCATTGGTCAGGTAGATCTCAACTGATTTTGTCTTCTGGTGTGCGTGAGTGTGTGCTAGTGTGTGTCTAAATACTTAGTGGGCATTTTTGTAACTGTCTAATAGTGTCTGTGTGCTTAATACCTGACTATAGTAGGTTGAAAATGGGAAAGTCGTGCGTGGATGTGTGTGTATCAATTTTCTAGTTGTCCTTACGGGAGTTGGTGGTGTCGGTCCGTGTACTGACTGTGGGTTAGATGTACGTTATTAATTTTAGAGTAAATTTTATTGTTGTGGAAAATCGTGAGAATCGGGGAATTTTGGGGATATAAGGGTGTGTGCTTTGGGTCATTATTATTATTATTATTATTATTTATAACGTTTGTTGAGGAAAAACATATGTAGGGAAATTTTGGATATGTGGGTGTTTTTGGTTCACTGACTGATTGATTGAGTCGTTTTCTACAGCTTATCAACCCTTTGTAAATTATTTAAAGTCAGAAACTATTTTTGGATTGTAAGAATTCTTTGAGATAATAATGATTTAGTGATACAAGCCTTATTAATTAACCCATAGCTGGAGGAAGAAGAGGTGAATTTGTACCTTTCCTAAGGGTATTTGTGCGTGTCTATATAACGAATCCAACTTGAATTAGAACTCGGCTCTCCGATTAACAGTTCTGAGCAAGTATCGATTACACTACGCGGACATCCACGCTTACAGCACCTGTTATACCCAAGCGGTCACCCATCTAGTTACTGACCAGGCTTGAGGTTGTTTAACTTCGGTGATCGTACGAGAACCGATGTTTCAACGTGATGTGACCGGGTGTTTATTGGTTTAATCCTTTTATTCATATTCGATTGTTATATATATATATATATATATATATATATATATATATATATATATATATATATATATATATATATATATATATATATATATATATATATATATATATATATATATATATATGTGTGTGTGTGTGTGTGTAATTCATTAGATGCATTAGGGATGGTCTTCAGTGATGCACTGTACTCATCGTCGATTTCGAGTTTTGCATCATGTCGGCTCAAATAGCAACTCCGACCTGACTCGTCCGAAGTCAGGTCGCCTTCTTGACACCTCGACAATGCAAAAGAAAAAAAAAGAAAAAAAAAAGAAAATAATCTCGACTGACATAGCCAGGAGTACGACCCTTCTTAATGAAATACGCCCATCAGCGTCAGCCAAGGAAAAAAGACTATTATATACTGGTGTATTTTTAATTCATCCAGTTTGCATTCGAGTTACTTCCCCTGGATTCCTAATTCGGTAAGAACCTGGTCTCTTGCATAGTTTAATCCAAATGTTTCATTCGTTTTAAATTGCTAATCTCGTAACATTACTAACCCTTTAACTAAACATACACATATAAAATAATGATAATAATAATAATATTTTTTAATAATTTCACCCCAAGCAAGGTAATAAATGACCTAAGGCGCAAGTGGTTACTAAGTGTGAGAGAATATTTGAAAATGAAACGCTTATTAAGAACATGAATTAAGAAGACAGAAGATAACGATTGATATTGCATTTCAATATTTGAGGATCAAAGGTGACTGGAAAGCAAGAAGTGCGGTAGAAATTGTTGGCATAGAATTTACGGTTTATAACCATTTCGACTGATACCTTGTCTCCAAACTAGTACACCGCTTATATTCATAAAGTCTAGATGTCATAGAGGAAAGCTCATTAGAGCTTTGGTAAAAACATGCAATGATAACAGCAAAAATTGCAATATGAGCACTGGTAAAAATGGTTGCTGAAGACATTAGGTTTATAATACCCAGAAATTCATACCCAGACCCTGTGCCATGTGTCCTCAAGGCGTTGGTTAGATCCAGTGACAGTACTCAAAAGAGTGTGAGTTCAATACCCGGTTAAGGCAGTAGAGAACTTTCAGAGGGAAATTAACAGGAGATAACTGATATCCATCAAACATGGCACGTGGAACTAGAACAGTCTACCCCAGTGAGCGAAATAAGGGGTTCAGTTCGACATTCCAACCACCTGAAGAAGGCCGGAGCGTAACAAATATGGCGGCAAAGATGAGGACAATAGTCCGAATAATGTAAATAATAGAACAATTTAATTGATATTTGATTTCAATTCATCATATTTATGTTTAAAAAAATTAAAAGCATCGTAATGGCGGTTTCCCAAGGGTATCTCAAATGTAGTGCAAAGCTGAAAGTATGGGACGTCCAGTGAGGACCGAACTCACTAACTAGTCATTATTGTTACACCATGTGGAAGTGGCCGAAAGATTATACTAAGCGTAGCTTAGATGTGGCACAAGACCGAGAGTGTAGAAAACCCAGTGAGGATCGAACTCACTACTCCGTCATCATTAATCTAGCAAGACAAACCTGCCAAGCATTACACCAAGATGAAGTGATCCAACGATTGCAAAGCGCTGCTTAGATATGGCCTAGCTGTGAATGACTCAGCGATAAATGTTCGCTAACCATTACGCAACGTCGAAGTCCTACGGAAGCTTTGTAATGAAACATTAGGTAGGAAATGTGATGGGTTAAGGGAGATAACTCAGTTCTTTTTGAATTTTCTAATGTCCATAATTTTTTTATCCTTTCCCTCTCCCTTAACGAGAGAGCCTCTTGATTTTGTTGGAAGACAAAATACAGCGGTCACTCTTATTTTCTGAGGGGTGGACGGATACCTTCTAACCATTTATTTTCAGTTTATTTTCGGGCTCATCCCCCTACCATCAAACATCATTTCATAACATTCATATCATTATCATCATTTTATATATTTATGTATTGTCATCCACAGACAGACTGTTTCGCTGTTATCACAGCTCATCAGTGTGGCTAGACGTCCGGTTGCCTCTAGCTAGTATCGAAACCCGACTGAATTGGCGCCAGTCGGGGATTCTACCACTAAACCGTTGGCGCAGAGATGAAGGTGAATTAAAGCGTATTTCATTTTTTAGATAAACACTCAGTGACTGAGAGAACTCAATTCGATTTACCGACACAATTGTAAATATTGAACGATTTACGCCCTAGGGGTGTATTGTAGGTTCCCCAGTAAACTTGTGGTATTGTAGTATATACAGGAAGGTGTGACGAAGGACAAGTTTTCGTGGTAAAAGAGTGAATTGAAACGAATGAATGGGTCGTTAATCTGATTAGCTAGATATAGGATAGTTAGTGTCGACCAGCCTCTACCCACCTCCTCCTTTCGGCCTTGTACATCAATTACTGTAAAAAAAAAATCAGTAATAAATCTTTGGGAGGTAACTCAATTCATAAAATGAATTCTCATAAAAAATAATTTATAAACGGAGCGCAGACTGGCTTTCTACCATTGCTTTTATTGAGAGTGTGTTGGTATACGGTGTCACTGGATGCTAGCTGCTCGACAAGAGAACCCGCCAAATAGATGTTGCGAACAAAATAATTGGATACCCGCTGCCTTCCATGGAGGATATTTCTAATTCTCGTTGGCACAGATGAGAGAAAAACAAAACGAATGCCACCCCGCATTCCACGGTGGCGGGGAACACTTTTTTTGACTTGCTACCCTCGGGACGAGGTTTTTTTAGTCCTGTTATTTCGAGTACAAAGCGCCTGATGGACAACTATTATCCTTAGACCTTGTGTAAAATGAACGCTGACAGTTTACAACGTATTTTCAACGTTATCGCTTTTCTTCAATCGATCCTATGCGTGGGTTTGTTTTTCGTCTGCATTGTCGTGTGCGTGATTTTTTGGCTCACCTGCTGTCTGCGGTTCAATTTCCCTGAGCATTGCACACCGACTAGAAGAATAAATAAATAATCTACTAAAGGGCTCGCCTTCTGTGTGCCGTGTTCCTTCAGTACGTTGTCGATCATGGCTCTCCACAATTTCCTTGTCCTTTAGTGTTAGCGATAAAAAAATACTATTAACATAAACATGTCTTCTTCTTCCTTGCAGCGCCCAGCTGTGAGATTTAAAAGTTTTTTCTGTTTTGTTCGTTATATATATATATATATATATATATATATATATATATATATATATATATATAGCCTTACGTCGAAAGTAAGACTCGGAGTTTCATGTTCAGTACAATCAGTGCTTATATTGATGATGAACTGTTCGATACGATCGGTAGTATTTTAAAAATTTCTTGATCTCTTGGAAGCAACGTCATATAATATATTAATTCTAAGTTTAATAATTATATAATTAGAATCTGATATTGAGGTATAGATCTGGATTTAAGTTACAAAATTATAGGATGGGGATAAAAAAAGAAATAAAATTAATTCAAAATAAAACAATTAGAGACTCCGAAATATTTAAGAAATATTCGTCAAACTTAAATGGATAGCGAATCAAGGGGGTAACAAATAAATAAGTATAAAAAAGCAAAATTGTAATAACTAAATATTAAAAAAATATAAAAATAATAAATATTTATAGATATAGAGATAAGAAAATATAAATATATAATGAATTAGACCACACGTGACCCGTTGGATCAAGCTTGTTTTGTTACTGTTTACATTTAGTTTCATGAAGAGTATGTGAAAGTAGAGATATTTTAAAAATATATTTATTTCCAGTTATTGAAGTTGCTTTCAACATTAAAAAAGATATCTGTTTGAAGAAAGTTGAAATAAAAATATTTGAAATGTTGTTTGTTTAAAGAAAACTGAAATATAAATAATCACGCACTCAATCACGGGAAGGTGGAAAGAGGTGAGTGGAATGAGTTTTTTTTTCTCCGTTTCCTTCTCTTCCACCACTTCCTACACGATGATAAATTTATATCTTTCTTTCACCCACTCTCTATATAGGATTTCTGGCAAACACAAAAGCAACGTTCACAGACTTTTATAGTAATAAAGATATATATAAATATAAGAATAATTAATAATTAAAATATATAATTGTAGAAATAAAAATGAATATAAAATAAAGTTATAAATATAGAAATAGGAGAAGTAATATATGGATATAACGGTATATTATTGGAGAAGAAATAAAATATAAAAATAAAGTTAATTACGGAATAGTTAAAGACAATAACAAAAACAAAGGTAGGACAAGTGGGGTAACTCTATAAATCCTAGCGTTAATTAGGTTAACCAGAATTGAAATATTTAAGAAAGTGTTTTCTAAGAATGCGTGTATTTGCTTGTATCTATATTTATTTATTTAATTCATATATATATATATATATATATATATATATATATATATATATATATATATATATATATGTGTGTGTGTGTGTGTGTGTGTGTGTGTGTTTAGGCATCAAATTCTCTTTTAGGAAATGTCTGATTTAATAAATTACAAACATTATGTCTGCTTATTTTTAGCATAATCCTTTCATATTCACGAATATTCTTCCGTATATTACAATTGAATAAGGCAAGAAATGCACTGTAACAGTGGGAATCACTTTTTTTCCCAAGTACTTTCCATCTCTTTCTGAGATCATCATCAGGTGTGCAACTACTAAGGCAAAAACTATGTGTAGCTATCAATTACTGAATTTTTACGAGAAAAGTTATCCATTATGGAATTTTTTCTTTTATGTTGGAATTTCATGGTCGAGCACACATTTTTTAAAAATGTTATTGTTGAATTGATGTTTCTTTTTTCATAATAAATATTTTTTAAAAAAACTCCTGATAATTATATACCCAACCAATATATATATATATATATATATATATATATATATATATGAAAAGTGTATATAAATATAAATAAATATATATATGTATAATTATTTATATATTATATGCGCGGTA